AAAATTATCACCTAGGATTAGGGATAAAATAAGGTTACTTAGAAATTCTTGATAGTTGAACGAATTGATTTTATCCTATTTCTCTGAGGACTTGGGCAATTGGATGTTAAATCAAAAGTATTTTCACAGGACTTAGGAAAATAAACCTTGAGAATAAGTAATTGAATCCTGTAAAAATTTGGTAATGAAATCTTGATCCAGCTGAGTTGGAGGTTGAAGCATACACCCTACCTTAGCGTTATCTCTTTAAAATCAAAAGTCACTCTTAATTTCAGTCTATTCTTAGTTTTCATTGTCTTTCATTATTTGTTCAAAACAACAATACATGTTCTTTTGTTTAATTGGCTTCATATAATAACTCGTATTTCCTACGCAATCCTCGTGATCGATATTCGGGGTAAAACCCTTTAAAACTACATTGGTGACAATAGTACACTTGCTAAAATCACGATCAATAGGCAAATCAATTAATATGCTGAAAAATAAGAAAATATGGTGCGCTGTTCAAACGCACCAATATGGACACGCCACGTTATCATCCATGTCATGGGGACTGTGGCTAAAAGTCCTTTTACCTATACCAACGGACGACTGTCCGTAGCTATACGCCCTGTTGTCTCAAAATCCACCACGAGCCACTAGAATGCAAACTAAAGGCGTGGTTCTACTCGCCTCTCCGCCCCGGTTCCAACCATGGTCCTTTTATTGAACAATTTGCCCTGTAACGAAAACCCCTGAAAGAACCCTAAAACAATCTACAATGGCATTTTGTGATATATGGCATGATAATGAAATTGAATAATACAGAAACTTCGCAAATGATGTAAGGAATTCAAATATGCAATTATCTCAAAGAATGGATGCAAGACTGAAGCTTTACGATTCCATGAGTATGGAGGTTTTTAGCGACACTTACAGGGCTTTTGGAGGCAGTAGAACGTGTGACTATGATTGGTACTGCTTCAGTGAAGTGCAAGGAAGCGATTGAGACCTTTGTTTGATCATGAAAAGGCCTCTAAGTACGATTTCAGATCCAAGGTTTTTAAGCTTTTTCCTCAAATTCTTCTGGCCGTTTCTGCAGTGTTTTGTGCGTCCTTCAGGTTTTTCCTGCTTATGTGAGTGTTATAGAGTGAATTAGGGTTGGTCTTTTGGTCTCAAATCAAATGCATTGAAGATTCAAGATTGGATTTTGATCACCATAACCAAACTTCCAAAAATAGGCCAAATATGATTTTTATGCTTGAATGAGCCTTGATACGAATTGACTAGGTGTTATGTGATATATGCAAGCTGTACAAATCACAAAGATAGCATTTCATTAATTTTTGGATTTTATGTGAATTAATATAGATTTAAAATGAATTAAATCAATAAAAATTAAATAAAATAGAAAAATAAATGTTTGGTCATGAAATTAAAGATGGGGCACGTGTGTGGCATGACAAGACTATATCAAGTGGAAAAAGTGGTCCCTTTTGTCAAAAATTGGAGTTTTGAGGATAGTTGACTTTTGGCAATTTTGGAAAAATGCCCAACTTCAACAATGCATAACTTCTTAAATTTTGAACTTTTGGAGGTGTTTTTGGAATTTTTAGAAATTTTGAGATGTCCTATAATCAAACCTTTTGGTCTCATCTCATTTTGATCTTCCATGCTCAAGTTATAAGCTTTGGAAAAAAAGGTGTTTTTCTTGACTTTCAAAAATGACCTATAATGTCCAATTTTGTAGCTTTTTATGAGAGCATTTCTTGATCTTGGGGTGTGAAGATGGACTGTAGTAAATTGCATCCTCTTCAAAATGAGATTTGGATGGGTCATTTCTCATAAAGTATGAGAAAGTTATGCTTGGTCAAAGTTGAGTTGACTTTTCCTATAAAACCGTAATTTAGCAACTTTTGAATCTTGATGAATCTTGAGCAATCCTTGATGAATCATGATCAACCCTTGATAAAATGATGAATTATCCTTCAAATGAGAATGTTGACAAAAAATCTTGAGGTTTGACTGTATTTGGGACACAGTTGACTTTTGCCCTAGCACAGTCGATTTTTGGGTCTCTTGAGCATTTGACTGACCAAACTTCCTCTGCAAGGCTTGAAATTTGTCATGGATGAACTTAAGAACATATTAGGACATTGGGGAGAACTTGAGGCCATTTGGATGTGAGGACCTTGATGCAACACAAAACCCTAATTTTGACTTGATTGCCTTAGGAGGTGACTTGACTGTCCAAACCTAGAGCCAACTTGAGCAACTTGAAGATTATTCTTGGAAAATCTTGAGGAATATGGGAGGGCAAATTTTGGGGTACAAAATATTGCAATGAGAAAATCAGAGCCTCATAGTTCATGGATTGAAAAAAAGTATTTGTTGATTGTTTTTAATGAACGACATTAATATTCTAGCAATTAACGTTGCTTGTATGCTCGTACATGAGAGACTTAAGTGTTTGTTTGTATTGCGGTAGAATGGATGCGCTTGGATCCTATTCTAGCAGTTAAACATGGCTTTTATGCTCGCGCATGAGAGGCTTAAGCGTATGTTCGTATTATCGTAGAACGAAAATAACATGTCCTTTCTGAAAAGTTTTGAAATGAAGCCCTAAGAAAAAGTGAGGTTTGATTGGTTGAGATTTATTATTAGGAGACATATAGTAGATGGTCCCTCAATACAAAATGTATCTATATATACGGAGAATCAGGAAGAATACACCACAAATTCCTTTTTCATCCTTTAATTATGAAAATTGCCTTGATTTGAATTACACTAAAGTCTATGAATATGGGTGAATACTTTAGACAACTGGGTCATGCATCCCGTATCTAAAGATATTAAAAATAAGGATATGAATACACCCTCTCATTCTTCGTCCATTTCTCAAGGCTCATGGCGCACAATTCACATAGTAATTTTTAAGTATTTTTGACTTTTTTTTTTGCAAAAGTGGTTTTAGTCTTAAATGGATAAGTATCCAAAATGATAAAAAAAGGGGAAAGAGTTCCTAATGTTATCATGCAAGTGTTTTACCTATATTCTAGAGTTTTTTGAAAGGGGAATTTTGTATTTGAACTAAGGGAACATGTTATAAGGTCTTAAAGTCTTAATCTAATTAATTGATCGATAGATACTTAATAAACTAATTAAACCAAACCTAAGGTAGCACGCCAATATTATAGGTTAAATATTGATTTTAGACAAGTATACATGAAACCAAACAACAAACATGAATTTAAGCAAGAGTCATCGTGGTGTAAAGGTAAAAGAAAACATGATAAAAAATCAACCTATTTCCTAATACATTTACGTCAAAATGTAATCAAAATTAATCTAGGAAAAAGATTAAGATTAATCAAATTTATCAAGATCGTTATTATTTTCTAAAAGTTAAAAACCTAAAGAAAATGAAAGAAGAAAAAAGGAAATAAGTTAAAAGGGCCTATGGGGTGATAAGCCTAAAATGGTGTTGTGGCCTGAGTAAAAGGCACTACCCGGGCCTTTGGGTCTGAGGCCCAATTGTTGTTTCCGGTCTTTAAAAAAAAGTCTGCCATTAGAAATTAAGGGTGTATGTGAATAAGGTTTTTGGGCCTTGATGTTGTTGGGTAAAGGCCCAAACGAACCAACAAAGGGGAAGGGAACTCGTACTCACACATAGGGGTGGCAAAGCGAACAACCTGTCTCATTTAGGTCCGCTCCATTTAAGTCTGTCCAAAATTTGAGAGGGGTAGGACGGAACAACTTAGGCGTTCGAGCTCAAAAGTCAAGTCTGCTCCATTTACTAACGAGTTGGTGGGTTGACAGACTAACCCGCCAATTTATTTTTTCAATTTGATTTACTACATAATTTATAATTTTTTTAATTATTACCAAAGAGGCCGTCAAAAGATTTTTTTAACAACGCTTAATAAAACTTCAATATCTCTTAAATCCAAACAGTTTAAAAAATAAAATAAATAAAGATCAATTACAAAAAAAAAGAATAAACTCATGCACAATAAAAAACGTATCAAAATAAATAAATAAATAAACAATACATGTCATCTTAATCCTATTTAAAACTAACTAACTAAAAAACTCAACTAAGAATTTACACAATACAAGCAAGGATTATTACTATTTTACCTCTGCCATATAGGTCATTTTTTATTTACCCCTGTAAATTATTTATAAAAAAAAAACAACCTTGCCATTTTAAAAAACTAATAATTTAATCTCTAAAGTCAAAATCCGCAGGTAAATCTGCAGATTTTCTTTTGAATTTGCCTGCGAATTTTGACTTTCGAGACCAAATTATTAATTTTTTGAAATGACAAGGTTGTTTTTGAAGAAATTTTTTTACGAAGAGTAAACCAAAAATAATTTATATTATAGGAGTGAAGTGGTAATAACCCTCCAAACAATAATAACAATTACAGTACATAAAACGTCATAGTGCATACAAGAGTAGTGGATAAAATGTCAACATCTCACTTTTTCACTATTCACACCATATAGATTCTTATATTGACCAATTCTTTAATAGTTAAATTCTAAAATTGTCATGTTTATACATTAATCAAATCTTTTTTTTTTTAAAAATCAACGTCTATTTTTAAAAGAAAATATATGAGCTAATATATTGACAACTTAATAATTCTGCATGTCATACAATTGTTCTTTCTTTTCATGTTTTTCCAATCAACACATGCATTAGAAAATTAAAGAAAAAACGCTATATTTATAATTTAAAATACAATTCAATCAACATTATCTTAAGATAAGAGTGTTGTTTTAATAGTTAAAATTGTTTTAATTTTAAGTAAAAAATAATTTTTTTTAATAAAAGATCGTGAACAAAACTCGCTCCGTCTAAATTCGTTTTTTTAAACGGGTTAAACAAGGTAGATCAATTTAAAGTACCGACCCGAAAATCTCGGTCCACTAAAATAATGGATCAAACTGGTCTGATACGTTTTCCCACCCTGCCCACGCAACCTCTCATCACTCTCTTTCTCCCTCTCTCTATGCCCACCACGCTGGAAATCGCCTCCGGCGGCGGGGCTGCTCCAATCACCAAGTTAAGGTCACCACTACACTTCTCTCTCAACACTCTCTTCAAACCTACTCTCCTTCTCAGAAACCCACACCCATCTCTTCAAATGATTAGAGCATTACAAAACCCTAACCCAATCGAATCAAAATTAAATGCTCATGATGTGCTGAATGGGATGTCAAGCTTAGGGCTATGATTCAGTGATGCAAAATATACATCGTGGTATCAAAAAGAAGAAGAAATGGCGAAGAGTTTGGAGCTTACCAACAGGGCCGAGACTGGCCCTGGTCGAAGTAGGAGTTGGAGAAGAGGATGATAGAAACCCAGAGAATTTTCCACACCCAGGTACCGATTCTTTGATACTTCTAATATCTCTTCTTCTTCCACTCTTCTTTTTTCCACTTCTTTGTGGTGCTTGAAAATTATGCTGCTTGTTGATTGTTATTGGAATTTAGGATAGGTGATAGAATGGTGTGGGGATCAGGACTTTGATGATTATTGAGTAGAGAGATTATGGAATGATATTGAGAAGATGGTGAACAGAAAGATAAAGATGAATGATGGTGGCTGAGCTCGGATTGGTTCAGAGTTCAATGTAAGCTATGAGCGATCCTTAGGGTGAGCTTTGAGTGATGACTATGGTGATAATTTGGCAGAGTCATATTATGGTGGTTGATGCTTGAGATTGAAGTAAGAAGAGGAGGGTTTTTATAGAATGAGGGATTAGTGAATTGAGAGGAAAATTCTGTTTGAGAGTTAGATAGAGATGATTAAATGTGGGCCCTTGGATAGTGATCCAAGTGCGACTTTAATCAAGGGTGGACATTGTTCCAAAAATTGGTTAGCATTTGTGTTATTTGGTATGTGAGGGTTTCAGTGATTTTGTGTTTCTTTTAGGCATGAATCTAGTACAAAAAATGGAGTTTAATGTGTGTTTGTTTAGGTAGCTTTGAGTTAGTTAGGGTTTAATCCAGATTTGGAGGGAAACTTGAAATAGGGGTAAAGTGGTAATTGGCTAAGCACACGTGGCATGGTTAGTTAGGGCAAGCTGGAAACAATTGGAGTTAGTTTGGGTATGTTTGCAAGGTTAGTTATTGAGTCTTATGGTAGTTTGAGTTTGAAAGGGATTTATGGAGGGAAATTGAATTTGAAGGGTAGAATGGGTAACTTGTCTCTGCCCATGTGGAAGAGGTAGTTATAGGTGGTTATTGACAGCTGGAGGTAGTTAGTGTTAGTTTGAAGGAGGTTACATGGCTGAAGGTTTAAGGTGAGTTATGAGATGTTTGTGAGTTTGTTTCTTGACTTGATCTTTCTTTTCATCTTTCTGTTTAGGACTGTATGCATTGCCTCAGGTTCTTGTGTATCTGCTTTGATATGAGCTGAATTAAGATGTTGCCTGCTATGAATGCTTGTACTGGATATTGAATCATGTTTTGCAAACTGAGTTGTGTATGACTGTGTGATGGAGTGATCTTATATCTCTTGGGTTTTAATGTATATATGAACATGTACCGTGATGCTTGCATTGTATTGTTGTGACAATTGTAGTGCAGGGCAGACATATTTTGGTAATGGCATTGGTCTTAATTTGAACTGTATATTTGAATGTGTATGTGTTTTTGCTTGCAGTTGATGTGGATGTCTTGTTGTAATTCATGTGGATGCATTGTTTGAATGTTGATGCTTGATGTGAACTTTCAACATGAATGTGGCTTTTGTATGTGAAATGATTTGGTGAACTGGAACTGGTGTATCAAAGGTGTTTATAGTAGCATGATGTTGCTTGATAATGTTTAGGTTTGCATGATGACATGGCTGGATAGGTTGGACTTATTATGTTGAACCTGTTTCAAGTTTGATGCATGAATGAACTAGTTTTTAGGAGGATATGTGTGTACTATCTTGAAGATGCATGCTGGATTTTGTCAACCAATGGTGCATTGTTGTTTTTGACAGCAGTTTGTAGCAGGTCTGGTACATGTTACATTGGTGGTCTAGCATGTACATGATGTTTTGGCATATGTGTATATACTGATGTAGGGTTGCTTGTATATGGCATTGCGGGTCTTTAGCAGGTGATGCCAATGTATGCTGGTAATTGATGATGTTGGACTGCAGGTTAAGCACATGAATCCAACAGGTTTTATGTAAGCACAATTGACATATGCCATGGATGAAGTTTGAACATGAAGGCATGAAGATAACTGGATATGGAAGCAAGATGATGAAGGAAAACTGAAGCAGTTCAGGAAGAAATAGGCTTAGGTTTAGTGGTCAGACTTGGGTCAACAATTTGACCAAAAGGTCAACAGTTGACCAAAAGTCAACTGTGGTCAAACTAGACTTTTTTGGTATAATTTTCAATGTGTAATGCATCTTGTAATGTAATTTTGGCGATTTGCAATGTAACTGGCCTCTTGAAAATTAGTTTGACTTCTTTGTGAAGTGTTAACTTTTCCATTATAACTTTTGTCTTTTCCATGTACCTTGTGCTCCAAGTAATAAAGTTCCATTTTGAATGAACTCAATTGAAGTAAGAGTGCCTTAATCAATAAGTAATAGTCATCCAAAAGTAGAGGAAAGAATCCATTAGACATGGTCAACTGTTTGACCAAAAGTCAACAGTTGACCAAGAGTCAAATGTGATATAAATGACTTCCAAATGCTTCTCTTATGATGCGTATCGATAACCATGTTTGAACTTGAAATAGAGACTTCTAAGAATTAGGTCAAAAGTCAATTGTGCTATAATATATTTTTTTTCCAAGCAAACACCATAAGAACCTTTTATCCTTAGAGATTTGCCAGAAAGTGAGACCTTGATACAAATGACTTCATCATGTATTTTACTAAGTATTGAGTGGACAACAACCCTAATTGTCTGATCAAAACCCTAGTTGATCCATACAATTGAAATCCAATCTTTTGTGGACTCTCTTGAACCAATGTATGTAGGTGAATATATGCAAATAAATGAACATCTTAATGAAATATGAATGCTTAGAGTAGAGGAACGCATATGAGTTTTGGTAACATGAGTCAGATGGAAATAAAAGAGGGATAAAGAAAATTTGGAGTATGACAATTGTTCAGAAAGACACTGAAAAATGAAACCTTAATTGTTCAAGTGTATGCTGATGAGATCATTTTTGGTTCTACCAATGATACTCTTTGCAAAAAAAATCTGAGTTAATGAATGATGAATTTGAAATGAGCATAATGGGAAAACTAAAGTTCTTTCTTAGAATTCAAATCAACCAATGCAAGAATGGTGTCTATGTCCATCAAACAAAGTACATAAAGGAGCTTCTAAAGAAATTCAAACTAGATGATTGCAAGATCATAGATACTCCTAAGCATATTGTCGTAACCGACAAAAAAATAACGAGTCACCACCACTACTTTTTGTCCTAAGGACGGGGAAGTAACAAATAACCCTAATTGTTTAGAGATTCTAAGTTTGCGAGTTGGTTAGACGAAGGGAAGGTGTTAGACACCCTTCATCTTCCTTGTTCTTAAGGGGCTCATCTTCTATGTCGTAGGGGTAAATCAGAAATTTCTATTTAACTGCGTTATTTCGATATATGTGTGAAAATGTTTAGTTTTTTAGTTGAGGGACTCGCCTTAGTTTTAATCGCGTGCCTACGTATCTCCTTGCGAAGAATCAGAGTCCAAATTCGTAGTTCGTATGTGTTTCGTTAGTTTTTTTTATGGATTGTGGAAATATTTGGAATTATCCTTGAACCTTGTCTGGGGTTGAAAATAGCGTAGTCGTAGACACAGTTCGCAGTTAATAGAAAAATATATCTACAATCCTTTTTTTGAAAGATAAAGTGTTAAATTTGATGGTTTAGCTGTCTTAGAATGCATGATGAAGTTTTGAAAAAATAGAGTTTGAATGATAAAATTGTTTGATGAATTTATGGGAAAAAGATTATTATTTTAGAAAATAATTAATAAATAATTATTTTCTTGCTATATAAAATATATTAAATATTTTTAATAATAATTTAATATTTATTTATCAAAAAATATTTTTATTATAAAAAATAATTTGATGCAAATGAAAACAATATGAGATAGTCAATATTTATATATAAATTAAATGAATGAAATTGAATAAATAAATTAAATAAACCAATTAAATAAATTCTAAAAACAAAGCGGGTGTATTCATAACTGACATAGTGAAACCTAGGGGTGTGAGTATCAAGGGCCAAAGCCCATAATTGGTTTTGAAGCCCAAATAGTGTCAGGGGTGCAAATTGAGTTTAGTAGTAAAATATAGGGGCGTAGAAAGCAAGAGCTTAAGCCCGATAAATGATTCAGTCCAATAACTAGCAGGGGTGCTAATTTCAGTTGAACGAGTAAAAGAGAGTGTGCGTTTAGCACTGGACTTGGCCCATATATTTTTTTTGTCCGTTAGAAATTCGTGGGGAGGCGCATAGACTTATGGTGTGCTAAGAGTTTATGGATCGTTTGATTCAGATCACGTGGCTTTGTAGCAGTGAGTCATGAGCCTTTGATCATAAAGTAAGGCAATCGTAAGGTCGAGAATTAAAGTTGGTAGGGAATATGTTAAGCTGTATACACGGAGAGTCAGGGAGTCTATATATTCATTTTTCCATATTTTTGTCATTTTTTCTCGTCCCCCCTCCCTCTCTCTCTCTCTCTCTCTCTCTCTCTCTCTCTCTCTCTCTCTCTCTCTCTCTCAAACCTATTGCCCTTTTCTTAGTTATAACAATTTAGAGAGAGAGAGAGAGGCTCTTCCCTCTCTCTAGATTTTCGCTGACCGAAAATTGCCTTGGCTGGCTGAGGCGCCTTGAACCACCACCTTTATCCCAACCCAAACCCAGATATTCAAACCTTCATCCTTTCCCAGAAGCCCACCGTGGGTGACCGTGAAGGACGCCGTTGGGGATGAATGTCTGCCGGAGACATCATCCATTCTCCCAGAAACCACATGAACCCTATAAATCCCAGACCTAACCCTGAGTTCTCACATGAACCCTAACAATATCCAAACCCAGAAATGTATGAACTGATGAACCCTAACCCTAGAACATGAACTCTAACCCTAGCTTGTTAGAATCCTAACCTTAAGAGCATGAACCCTAACCATATTTTTCCAGATTCAACCAATTAAATCAAATTAAAGCTAAGTGTTACCTTCCTTGCAGTGAATCTCGTCGTAACTTGTTAATTCCTCTTCGTCTTCTTTCTCCCATTCTTATGATCTCCTCTTTCTTTTTCTTCATAGGTAAAGATTGCAAAGAGACTTAGCTCAAAGAAATTAGGGTTCTAATGATGAACCGTAATTCCATGTGGATGAAGAGCTTTTGCTGAAGGGTGGGGGATTCGCAGCAACCTTCAAGGGGTTATGTCTAAATTTTTTCCTCCTTTTTCAATTAGTCAAGGTCTCAATTTATAGGCTTAGGAATTGTATAGATTAGGAAATAATTCATTGATTTGCTGTTATAGGTTTTAGATTAGAGTTGATTGAATCATGTAATTAGATTTGATTATATTATATTAGATTAGGAATTAGAATCATGGTTTATGTATCTTGTATGTACTCGGACTTTTTTATGTGTAAATTCGTTTATCCAATCTTTGACTCAAATTTGATTTGCTGTAAGGATCTAATTTCTGGGCTTTTGTATCTACATATGGTTGAAGATACCCAAAATGGGCGCAACTGGCACAAGGGGTTGAGAAACCCTAGTCGACTCAGTCAACTTTACAAAAACTTAAACAATAATTAATAATAAATAATAAAATTAATAATTAATATAATAATAATACTGGATAATAATAAAAAATGAAATAATAATGAACCAAACAAAAAATTCGTTGTCCTTGGGTCAACCAGACTAAAACCAATAATATATATGTATATTTTGTAACAAAACAATAATTTTATAATTATAAAAAAATGTAAAACACAATTTAACCAACAAACTTGTTGACTTCGGTCAACTTAGAAGTAAATAACAAAACTTACTTAACATAACCTCCTTAACAATTTTACACGGGCCTTTAAAAACATCTTAACGGGCCAATTGAAATAAGGATGACCCCATTTGATAAAATGATAAATACACCCCTCCCCAAAATTAAAAAAAAAAATTAAAAAAAGATAATTTAGATGTCCATGTAAAAATAAAAGCTCGTACAAAAATTAATAAAACAACCCAAGAGTTCTAACAGAGATGAGATAGACTATTTACACATGTACGAGCAAATTTGGGATACGACAGTTATCCATATTTAATTGCTCTTCAATTTAGGGTGCGAGAATATGAGGGTCTCGCACATTCAGATCAGAGGGTTATTAAATAATGGAGAACCCCAAAATTTGACCAAAAGATTTTGAAGAAAGTAAAAATAGTAAGATAAACCAAAAGGTAAACAAGCAAGGATGACGCGTTTAACTCACCAATGCTTAGAGCAAGATCATAAATGACCTAAATGTGACGATGCAGATAACTCGTCAACACCCAGAAAGTAATCGCAAAGTTCGTATATTTACCATGACCTAGGAGGTAAATAACACGAGCTTGAAAATAGATAACTTATTGCTGCTTCGAGACTAACGCAACAAGCTATGTCGCAGTTATTGCGTATTTACCACGACCTAGAGGGTAAATAACACATGTTTGAAAATAGTCTTACTAACGCTATGAGACTAACATAGTAAGCTACAATGTATATTTTTCATATTTATCACAACTTAGGGGATAAATATCATAAAGTTTGATAACTCGTTGTTGCTTCAAGGCTAACACAATGAACTATATCGCAGAAAAAAGATAACTTATTGCTGCTTCGAGACTAACGCAACGCTTATTTCGAAAGTTTTGTATATCTACTACAACCTAGAGAGTAAATGATACAAATTTTAAAATAACTTACTAATGCTTCGAGACTAACATAGTAAGGTATATCGTAGATTTGCATATTTTTCACGACCTACAGGATAAATACCACAAACTTGACAATTCATCGTTGCTTGGAGACTGATACAATGAATTATATTGCGGGTTTTTTCATACCTACCACAACCTAGGGGGATAAACAACACGAGTTTGAAAATAGATAACTTACTAAAGCTTCGAGACTAACATAGTAAGCTATATCGCAGATTTGCATATTTATCACGACCTAGGGGATAAATAATGCGGGTTTGATGTTTGAAATCGAGTTTGATAATTGAACCTTAGATAACTAAACCAATTATATAAGTCACAAATATATCA